GAAGAGTAAGGGGTAAGAAAAAAAAAAAGAAAAAAGAATGGGGGGGGGGGAACGATAGTAGTTTTCCTTCGTTATCCCTTGGCTCGTTTATCCGAAAGAAAAGATCGTCAAAGGTTTGTGTCTCGGATTATATCGAAATTCCAGGTTGCTTCGTTCGTCGTAAAGTTTCATTCTCTCATGGGGGTCGAGCGGTGCTCGGGGGGATGGCGGAGGAAGAAGATAAAAGAGGGGGTGGGTGGGGGGGTAGGAGGGAAAGAGGGAGTAAGAAACAGGCACCAAAAGTATCTTAGAATTTTTGGCGCGTGACAATTACCGCTTCGTAAAAGTTTTTCTTCCTTTCTTTCTTTCTTTTTTTTTGTTTTTTTATTTGTCTTTCTTTCTTTTTTGAATCGTATAACGAAACTCTTATATCTCACCTACCAAATTGATTCTCTTCCCAAAGTGACTGACTGACTGACTGACTAACTAATTTCAAAAGTTTCTCGATTGTTATCTCGAAAAAATTCGATAAATTTATTTTTTTCAAGTTAAACGCGCATGAGAATAAAGAAAAATCCTGACCAGTATAGCAAGATCTTAGAATTTGATTCATTAAAATAAAGAGACAAATTTCGAAAAAGAAAAAGAAAAGAAAAGGTAGGAGATGATTGGATAAGAAACAGCTTGTCGAGTATGAAAAGTCACTTGCCGTTATAAAGTAAAGAATTAATGAAAACAGGATATTCTAACGAAGCCAGAAAGGAAACCAACCCCACCCACCCCCTCCACTGGATTCATTCGTCGAGGAAAAGGTTGAAACAAAATGAAAAAAGAATAAATAAAATGTTATGCGTTTGTGTAACGCGAGCGAATTGTATCCGATTGACAATGAGTGTGTCATACTATACTAACTTTGAGTTATGTTCTATCAAATAATAGGAACAACAACAACAACAACAACAACAACAGTAACGACGGGAAAGGGATGGGAATGATGGGGGTGGGGTGAGGTTACTTTTTGATAGAAAAGAAAGCAAGTACGCAAGAAAGAAAGAAATGGGGATGGGGTTGCAATGGGGGGTTTGAGTGAAAGTAACGACGAACGAATAAACAGGAGACACGAGGAAGATGATTGCGCGGGTTGTCTGGGTGGAGGCTGGGTAAAAGGAAAGAAAAAGAAATGAAAGATAGATAGAAAAGAAGAGACAAATAAAGTAAGGAAAGTAGGGGTGGTTGGTTGGGGGTTGGTGTAGGATTCGAAGGCGTCGCGACGGAGACGGTGTTACGTTAGAAAGACGTGATTGCATAAAAGTATCTATCGATTTGAAATACAACGCTGAATAAAAGAAAAGAAATAGAAAGATGAAGATTTCAGAGGGTAAAAGTGGAAGAAAGAGAGTGGGGTGGGAATGGGGGTGGGGAGTGGTGAGAAAGATGTGCGCGTTGTCCCCCGTATCGAACGAAAATGCAAGAAAAAGAAAAGAAGGAAAGAAAGAAATAGATGGGGGACGAGGACGAGGAGAGGGGGGAGGGGTGTAAGGGAAGAGGGATGGATTTTTGTAATAAAGGGAGTACCGAGAAAAGCACGCCCCGAAGCTAGCTAGCTAGCTAGCTTGCTTGCTACCCTTCTGGCATCCTTTATAGTTACAATCGTCTTCGATTTCAGAAGATCTCCCGACAGATCAAGCTGCTTACGTAATAGTCCCTTCTTCTTCTTCTTATTTTGTTCTTCTTTTTTCTTTTTTTTTTCTTTCTTCATTTTCAGTCAGTCAGTCAGTCATGGTTGTATATCGCGATAATAAGAATACCCGGATGAAGAACCGCGAGTGATGAATATAATGGCAACGCGAACTTTCCTTTTTTTTTCTTTTTTTTACCCCCTACCACTCTACCCAGCAAGTATATTTTTCTTTATCTTTCCTTTTTTACTTTCTCTTTCTCCTCTTCTTCATTTTTCTAAGAGTAATCATTACCTTTTATTTTTTTCTCTTCAATCCCCCTTCTACCCCGCAAAAGCAGTATTTTGTATTTTTCTTTTATTAATTTGAGGGTTTCCCCTTCTTTTATCTTTATTTTTATTCTTATATATATTTTTAATATTTAATCGTTAATCGAATTATCGTAAATTTTGCACGAACTTTTATATTATTTCGAATTTGTTATTTTAATTTATTATTATATTATCTCGAATTGCTATATTACATATATATACGTGTGTAAAAATGCATATTTATTATTATAGTATATCTATTATATTTACTTATATATATATATATAAAAAAAAGAAATACTTATACATCTCATTTAGTTTTTAAATTATTTATAATATCAAGAAAGAAGACAATATTTATTTTTTTTTTCTAGTTTTTTTCTTTCCGACGAATGCTTTTCTTTTTTCTACATATATATATATAAGAAGAAGCAGTTCGATATTTTTAATGGAAGGTGGGCGAAGAAAAATATATGAAAAAATTAATAGCTAACTTGCACCACCACCTTCCCACTCCCACCCACTCACCCCCTTCGACATCGGTCTGATAGAACAACGGAAAAGCCAAATTAAGGACGCTTTCTGCAATATCGGAAGTTCGCTTGTTGGAGAAGCCGCGACGCGTTCGATACAAAGGGTCTGAACCTTTAGAGGGGTAAGAGGAATAAGAGGACGTGGAAGAGTTCGGTGTGGGATGGAGGGGTGGGAGGGGGGATATGTGGTATACGATATTGAATTTTCCGTCTATATCGCGGTCCAAAGTGCGCCGATGGTGGAACACACGCGTGCCTATATACATATATACATATATACGTGCATGCATGCCACGCACACATATATATACACGTATATACAAAGAAACACGATGGCCAGCAATTACGAATAAGCGAGGAAAAAAGGAAGCTGCCTGCTTTTGTACTATGACTCATAAGAGAAAAAGAGACAGCAAAGGGAAAGGTAAAGAGAGAGAGAGAGAGGGAGGGAGGAAAAGGGAGAGAAAATGTTAGCAAAGTTCAACTACAAGCAGAACGGAACGGAAGGCTTGAAACGAGCCCAGTTTCTCCAAGAGAATTACGATGGCCAATGGGGACCTTTCTCTGTGTTCGATAATTACACGCGGTAATTGTGTTTTGTTAATTGATATTAGAAATTTTCTAACGAGTATCATCATATATGTGTGTATATACATACAACTAATATTTCTCACCTCTTTTTGTTCGAACGTATTTCTTCTCTCTTTCCCTTTCTCTGTTTCTTTTTCTATTCTTCCACAATCTTTCTCTTTCTTTCTCTTATTTATTTGTTGATATATTATTTATATAATATATATTTCATTTTTTTTCGTGACAAAGAAATTTCTATTTCATCAATGCGATTCGAGAATTCTAATATTGTGACATACGTGGATGTGTGTGTGTATTTTCTATTTTTTTTTTACAATGATTTTTTATAATTTAATAATATACATCATCTTTTTTTTCTTTCTGGTAACACATCGTTTGTATGATTTTGTTTTTATTAAAGTAATAAAAAATAATGGAATATAAAATCGATCACTAATGTTTCTCAGTTAAGAGAAAGAACAGAATAAATATTACTTAAAAAAAACAAACATTTTTATTATACGTAGGGGGGTGGCAAATATCATATCGTTGAATGTATTCTTAGAATTTTTGTCACCCATTGGAAATTACGTTATTATAGAAATAATTAGAAAAAATATTGTTTTTTCAATTTTTTTTAGGATTCGAACATAGAAAAGATTGACGTGAGAAGAAGGAAGGAAAAAGAAAAGAACAGCCAAAAAAAGTAACGAAATATCGTGTAAAGATGAGAAGAAGGAAAGAAAGGAAAGAAAAGAAAAAAATAGAAAAGACTTGGCCTTATCTTTACGCTCATTTATTTTTCGACTTCACGGAAGAAGCCCCCGTCATCTTTTCCTTGTGAATAGCATCGAAGAGTTGGTTTGGTTGCTGCTGCTGCTGCTGCCAGTACCTAACCACTAACCAACCACTCTTCTTCTCATTCTACCACCAGGAAAAACCTTTCTCTTTTTCTTATTCTATAAGCAGGAAGGAATTCGAACTTGGCTCGAAGATTTTTTTCTTTAACGAAAAAGAAAGGAAAGAAAAAACCAAGCCAATGAATACCCACCCTATGTATCGTTGCAGACGCAATCGGGTTATTAATTAAGAATATAAGCTTTACGGGGATGGTATGAGTAAGAATGAGAACAAAAATGGAAAAGAAAGAGAGAGAGAGAAAGAAAATATGGGAAGAGGAAAGGGAAGCTGATTTCTTACTCAAAAAGCAAGATTCTTTCATTGGGGGGTTATTTTATTTTTTTTTTTTTAATACCTCGAGACTAGGGATTGTTTGAGTAACTTGTGAAAGAATAAGACTGGGAGATAATTAGATAATTAGATAAATAGATAGATCGATAGATATTAAATATGAATATATGTGTGATATTTTTAATTATTATTAGAATAATAAATTTAATTTATATATTTTATATTAATGTAGTTGTGAGATTAATCAAAGTTTTTCGATTATCGGTGTTATTGTTGAATTCAAATTTTTCCTAAGAAGTTGAAATTGTCAAATTTTAATAAATATAAGCTTCGCGAAATAGCTAATTAAAGTTTTTGGTAAAAAGGTTAAGTACAAATAAATATAATATATTATATGAAATAAATCGTACGGATCAATTTTTTCGCTTTTTTTTTAATGATATATATATATACGAATTTTTATCTAACAAATTATTTTTATTCTCGAAACATTTTAACACGCACGATATCATAGTTCGTATTATATTTTCAATCAGAACGAACATAATAATTATAAACGTGATAAAAGTTTTTCTTTATATCTTTTCTAATTCAAAATTATGATTTGTTCTTTTTTCTGTCTTACATTAAACGAATTTACACAAAAACACGTAGTTCGGTAAAATGAAATCTTCTGTTTCGAATATTAATATATTATAATGTGTCTGCAGAAAATTATTTTTTTTTTCTCTCTCTCTCTCTCTTTTTCTTTCCATCTATTTATTTATCTGTTTCTCTCGTTGATTTTCATACGGTCGATGATTATATCCAACATTCCTACGTTCGTCGAGATTATTAAAATCTCGTTTCGTGTAAATAAATGCGAACAGATATGATTGTGATATCTTTCACGATCGGTGAATATACAAATGGAAAATTTCATTATCTCACCCATATATATCCCAATGTTGATTGTGTTCCAATGCTTTGTAGATAATACACACCAGTACTCGCAAATCTGAAACATATGGAAAACAAAATAAAAAAATCAATATTCATTATACTGTGTTTGTGACGCGTTCTTGCATATTACATCTCTTTGTTTAATAATACGTATATTGATTATATTATTTTCTTACGTAAAATATATATCTAAGAGATAAACTCTATATGTTATATATATTTTTTATAAAAAAAAAAAATAAAACACTAATAAAATTTTACGAATTTCAATCATTTGTTTCTCCTTAATCAAAACATTCGTTAATAAATATGCATCAGATATGAAATTATAAATATAATTAAATTATTCTATAAAAAATAAAAAATAATTCATTTATTCAATCCTATATCATAAATTATATAGTTATTACTCTCTTTATTACAGATACCAGTCACTTATCCGCTAACACACCTTCTCACACCTATCCCACAATTCCAAAAAGAGATTGAATCTTAGAATTAAACATCACGCGTTAACTTTTTACTAACAAGTCACCAATCCCATTAAACTAATCGTACCCAGACTCGTTGCACGATTTCATTGATCTAACTAATTTATAATACGATTAAAATCAAAATAAAATGAATAAGATTAAAAATGAAAGAAACTAATTCAAATGAATTGACGAGAATTATGAAAAAATTACAAATAAAAATAAGATAATCTATGGTGATTGGAAAATATATTTGAGAACGAAGATTGGTTTGGCCAAAGGAAGGAAACTAATTTCGATTTTGGTGGGAGACACACACACACACACACACACACATAGCAACCCAGCAGCGAGTCTCGTTAATTAAGCCGTGCAGAGAGGTTACAATGACGTATTGGAGATATGCAACGTTTGAACTTTGATGAGAACGATGTCTATATAGAGGTGGTTAATGCGGTGACACGCACAGGGACACCTCAGAAGGGAGTGGCCAACAACCAACGACGACTACGATGACGAATACGACGACGACGATGGTGTGGTGGTGGTCAGGTCGACTGGTGGTGGTCACTGTTCAGTCGATAATTACTTATCCTAAGCTTAATGTGCGAAGCTCATCAAACTGTCTGTGAAATATCATTTTCGCACGTATACATACGTCACGTATCCTTCGTCACTATATGACTAACATAAGACAACCCACGAGAATGAATATGATGATCCTAAAACGATATCAATATATATATATATATATATATGTATATGTGTGTGTGTATATTTACTATATAGAATGACTCGTTATATATGTATCGTCAGAGAGCTTATATATGGTATTACCATGATTAAGTCAAAATTCTACGATATGTTTGTTCTATGAAATAACGTTAGCTAGCTTGTTCGATCGTAACCAATTAATGGGAAAGCATGTGCTACACTTATTCAAAGGTTTATGTTATTATTGATACCTATTTAGAACGGATTAATCATTTTCTTCATAAATGATGTATATTTATTAAGATTGTTGAGAGATTTATATGGTTGAATGGTTAATATATAACAAATACGTTGATGAGAGATTGAATATTTGGGTTTATTTGAATATATTAATATTTCTGATATATATCAAGCGATCATGTGAATCTTGATATTCTCTATTTTCATCGTAACACATATATATATTATTTATTTATTCTTACTCCACCCCTTTCAGATTTGGAAGACTTCCATAACCATCTTTTCTTTTTATAGAAATACTATAATATACATATCTCTTATATTTTTATCCATATCATAATCATTTTTCCAACAAGTTAAATCATTTATAT